CTTTAAAGCACAGTAGCCACAGCTGTCTTTGTGGTTTTCCCCCTGTATCCTGATGAAGACCCAAGCAGAGAGAGAGACATGGGTTAGCACTTATCTTCTCAGCTGCCAGGAGCAGTGCTCAGTCACCACCACACAAAGGCACACAAGGTGAGGCAGCCACGACACTGGAAAGACAACGGCTGTTACTTGCCGATACTGCCACGAAATGTTGCACAACCAGCCAAACACAGGGAGACTGCTTCATTTGCCAAGTACTGTCAAGTTCTCCTGCAGCCTCAGTAACATGATCACCATTTTCCAGTCACCTAATAATTTTCTTCAAAGAAATCGCAGGAGTCATCTTTCTTATTGTGTCAAAGGATTAATTCTGATTTTCCATGTTTTACACCACTAACTCAAATGAATTCAGCAAGCTATTCCCAAGATAAGAATGTGCTCAGTGTTTAAAGATAATTGCTCCTTACTTTGATGAACATAATTTTTACAAGCTAACTGAAAGCATTTATGCACCATCACACAGGAACTGATCCTTTTAGGTAGAATTCTAGTTAAATAAAATACTATGAACAAAATCTTTTGAGTATTTTTTTTCCCCCTAGACAAGTTTTAGTCATTTTTTCATTAACTGTTTTAAAGTATCATACTGGTATTTAGTAAAGATCTGTTTATACATATGTATTTTAGTATTTAGCCTTCCAAATATAATCCTGAATAGACCATGCCATAAGAACACAATAGTAGAGTCACCAATAAGTTTAAAGTGTAAGAATTTTCACAAAACCTGACAGCTCGACTCCAAAATGGACAAGAATTCCCAAGAAAGAAATGCCTCTCTGAAAGCTTTTTTTCTGAGAAGTTTATAAACACACAAATATCCATTATAAAGAATACTGAAGATATACCACACATAAAGGGCAACATGGAACAAATGCCTGAAGCACAATGCATAAACCAACATATACTAGATGATTAACCATTGTCAAACTGGAGAGAGTGCGCACGTGTGTGTGCAAGAGCGAGCATTTTTATACACTGCATGCACAAATGCCTTCACTCAAAAAACCTGTAATTAAAATAATTCTCAGACACTCTGGATATTTATAGTAAAGATATACAAAATAATCCTTTAAGCACATATGATTGCCCACACCATCCAGTCTTCCTTATGGGGATCACATTTGGGAGTTCAATATGTTAGAAGTGTTATAGAAATAAAGAAAAATTTAATTCTCCACAGTAAACACCTTGTTATTGACAATACATAATGAACAATTACTAGATTGGCTTAGCAAGAAGAGGCATGTTTTGGTCATCCAAATTGTATTTCCAAAATCAATCAAAAAATAAAAACATGACTGATTGTTGTTATTCTACACCAAATGCAACCTATGGGATGGTGAAGAGGATTACGCTTGGGTTTTTTATCTTTTCCAAACAGATTTCACTCAATAAACTGCTTATATGTTTTTATAATCACATCATACTGGAGACTGTTGTTCACTGTCAGGATAATTTCTTTGGGTGAGAAGAACGAAGAGCAACTAAAAACAGGTCCACAGGGATTTCCTGAAGAAAAATAAACAGCATTGCAATAGATTCTAAACTTCAAGATGGGTGAATAAAAATTTGTCTACAATTCTATTAAAAGGAAAATTTCTCTAAAAGCATCAACAAAGGTCTTTCTAAGCAAACTATACGCAGACAAAACCACAATGTACACCCCTGCTTATTAACTTCTGATGCAATGTCCAATTTCTATCAAATCTTGAAAGGGGAACAGTCTCAGATAACAGTGACAACTGCACTCTGGCTAGCCCATATTGGTTCTGTTGCTTCCTCCTCACTCAAAAGTATGCTGAACTTGGAAGGAAGTGTGTGATACATAAGGGGGCTGAGGAGGAATTCCCTGTTACGTGGGAGAACTGCAGCAATGCAGGACTGTTAAAGACAAATGGCAATAGGACTGGGGATAATAGCTCCCAATGTAAGACATTGTATGCAATGTAGGAAGGTGAGGAACAGGGTGAAATTTTGAGTGAGAAAGATAGTTTGTGAATGTATTTGTAAATTTGAAGCCATGTGTAGCTTTGAAACCTAATTTAAGGAACATCCTAGTATCACATACTCACCATGACATGCACTTGTCCACATTTTAACAATAACCAGAGAGTTGCAGGCCCCACTCATGTGAGTGTGCCACCATGTCTGAAAGGCACTGAACTTGCTGGTCTACCTTTAACCAGATTCCCTGATAGCTTTAAGGTATAACTGAAAATATACTAAACTTCACAGGACACAAACTGTTCTTATACAATCAGAAAGCAGATGACTAGCTAATGAAATACATTCATATAATATCAGTCACAGACAGAAACAAATAAAATATGTTTCTGCAGAAGAGACTGGCAAGATGTTTTAATGGATTATGAAGTTTCAGTGACAGAAGATGTACTTAATATATAAAGTCCACATAATGAGAAGCAGTGGAAAAAATAGGACAACTGTCATGTGTCCAAGAAATATTTTCATTAAAAAGCTGTCAAATATAAACACTTGTCAGCAACAAAACACTCTGCAACTGAACAAGACAAATTTAACTCAGAATTTACAATGTACCTCATCATGGATTTTATAATTAGAAATATCCCTGAACAACTGGATATCTCCAAATTGAAACAACACTTACCTTCTGTTAAATAACTCCTGCCTGGCATTTATGATTAATTGGGCATAAAGATTGTTGTTGGCTTATTCTAGCAAAAGGACAGTTGAGAAGCAATACAACCAGTGTGTACAGATAGACCCAGAGGCAAACACCTGAGAAGGGTAAGAACTAATTAAGTTCAAGGACCATGCTGGTATAAGAACAAATGGTAATAAATTGGCCTTGAAGAAATTCAGGTTGGAAGTGAAACAACCTGATATTTTCAGATGAAAATTTGCAAATTTGTGATCAGGATGACCTGGCTGTCTGCAATAATAAGGGCTTCAACTCAAGTGATCCAGGATGCCCCCCACTTCCAGCCATACATCCTAAAAACTCGGTAAAACTTAACACTCTTGCAAAATAACTATATGTTAAATCCTGTAATAAATCTGCTCACTGAAAAAAAAAAATCATATAGGCTATAAATAACAATAGAAAAATATCTGTAAACTCAGATGTCAATGAATTTCCAAAGGTTTAAACCCTGATTTGCATAGTTCCAAAAAACCATGGATCCTCATTCAAGCAATCAAGACTATGAAGGTTCCTTTCCAGCAACAGGTAGGGGTAAGATAAATCTACCTAAATCCCATTACAGCAACAAACTCTGGAAGATCCTTTCACTTCCTACCAATATTCCTTATTCTTGTTCCTTCTCCCAAAAAATGAGGAGAGAAAAATGTAGACATGGCATCCCTTACCATCACAGAAAATAAGTAACGATCTTCTTATCTTTGATGCCTTCTGGAATTTGTTTTTACTCTCCCTGCCACAAAAACTCAAGAAAATAAGACAGAAAAATAACCAATGCACATATGGGATATACCAGTTAATAAAAAGCCTGGTCCATTCATTGGCGCCTTTCACTGACTTTGGTAAATTTTATACAAGAACCTACCGAAAACACACACAAATTTAGCCAGTAACATTTAGAATATTCAGTGTTTTGTTTCATGGGGTGCTTTTTTTCCCAGCTGTGAAACTAGCAAACTCTGTGTTAGGGAAGTTCACACTATGTAGGTGAACCACTTCATCCTTGGAATTGACTGATCTGTACTTCTTAAGGAATCGTAAAAAAGCTGTTCTATTATCTGTTGATCCTCCATCAGATTGAAGTTTTAGTCTCAGCTTTTACGAATTCTGATTAATATTTTTAGTCATTAAATACAATGGCATTTTGAGTGTCTTTTGTAATATTCATGTTCAACAGAAATGCCAATTCAATTGATCCAAACTTTTTTTGAAAATGTAGAACAAATTAACGGCATTGTTTCACCTGAAAAAACCCTTTTCCTTTCTTACCCTTCTCCTCCTCTTTTTCTTTTATTGATAGTCTAAAAAACCCACAGAATACATAGAATGTGCAAATAAGGATGCCCTTGCTAAAACACCTTCTGTTTCCCCCATAAGTCCATTATTTAGCACATATGCAGCTCTTAAGCAATGAGCATTCAAGCACTCCTAGTCTAGGAAGCCTTGACCACAACATCACAAACATTCTCTTTCTGGACAAAAGCATACTTAAATTCTTATAAAAAAGAAAAAGGAGATGCTGATCACTGCCCATATAGTGATCTCCTGTGTTTTTTGACAGTGATACCTAAGTTTACCCTTAATTACTGTTGCTTTGCTTTATTAAAAATATTAAGGTTAAATTATTTTGGGGGACAAAAAATTTTGTTCATCAGATAGGTAGGAGTTTTTTTCAGCAAACAAAAATCCTTTTCAGTTTGAACTACTTTTCACACTATTTTTCACTTCAGACTGAACCAGAAATCAACTATTTACAAGGTTCTAATCTAAAGTTACTAATAATGGCTTTGTGCTCTCAAATTTCTTCTTTCCTGTCTTTCTTTCTTGAAAGGAAAATACCTTTTGCAACCAAGATTTAACTGCAACAGATGAAGGACACTCGCTAGTATAGTTTTTTTTTTCCCCCTCCTTTTTCTTTTTTTAGTTGAAATGTTGTGGGTAGCAGAGTAAAGATTATACTATTAAATACATATATATGTATTTTCATGTATACATATATACATATATTCACCACTATATCCCTATTTATAGACTGGAAATTTCTAAGTAATTAGAAGGAAAAATATGGGCAGCTTTTGCAGGTGGAAAGTGAACGTACTTACAGAAGCTCTAAGGAAATTATCATTGTGCTAATACGGCGCTATGACTGTTGAAAACAAGTCAAGTGGATGTGATGACTCTATAAATATACACACTATTCTTACAAAATTCAGGACACTGTATATCACTGTATTCTTATTCTGCCTCATTTAATACTCACAGACAGACTGTAAGAAGGTTCCAGTATCACTGGCACTGACATCTTCCCTTGAAGATTCAATTTTGTTAAGTAAAATATCTTTTCTCCCACAACCCTCTCTTTTTTCATGCGACGTACGCTGTACAGTCTAAAGCGAACTGCATAATTCCCAATCATCTCAGACTCAACGTGATTAAATTTGAATGTCTCTGTGAAGACAGGGCACGGTCCCCGCTGGATGCTGGTTTTTGCTCTTTGCTTCTTTATAGGGAGAAGAACTAGGTGTACTTGCCACGAGCTTCCACCTGTCCTGCTGTATGTGGGAATGTCTGTAACAGCTGTCACTGTCACCAAAAGCTTCTGTTCCTGTGAGTCATAGTCAAAAGTCACATCCAGTGTGCCATATTTAGCTACTGGCTCAGGATCAAAAGGTTTAGGAAGCTGTGAAGACGATCCTCGAGCTGACATATCCTGAAGAAGAAGAAAAAAAGCTATTTATTTATTTATTTATTGTACTCTATTATTAAAACTAGTGTGGAAATATATGGTTTTCTCTAAGCAATATGAAGGCACTATGATCTTTTTGTTCATTTCATAAACAAGGTAATTAAACACCGAAAGCCTGAGGAGATGGCTGACTAGCAGCCAAGAAGAAATCAAAAGACTTTACCTAGCCAATACCACCAAAAGCCAGGAGTCAATCAGACAGAGCTCAGATTAAATTAGGCCTCTTCTTCTGTGCCTCACATGTTAAAATGTATATATATTTGTTACAAGATAGAACTATCTTATTTCAGTGTGAAAATACACACATTTTTAAGGTAACATATTACAGTGCTTTAAGGGCCGGCTAGTGATTGAGAGCACGGTGAGATGCCAGCAAAGAATACAGGAATCACAACACCTGCTTGCACATGCAGCTCTTGTTGCAGTCCACAAGGGTTCCATGAATGTGCCAAAAATTATCATGGCTTTATTAATGTAATTTTACTAGAACTGTGTAAGATGCATCTGTTTTGAACACACCTTCTTAACTTTCTGTAAACAGCACCAGTCCTAAAACTGTATTTTACACTTAATTTTGTTTATTGTCACTTCAAATTTTGAACAAAATATTGATCCCCCATATTGCTACAACAGCTAGTTTGATAGTGATACTGAAACACAAAATATTTACAAGTACAGGTCCACCTAGTGTTCATACAGTAAGTTATTCCAAGTATGTAAAACAAATGTATTTCCTGTGTATTTTCATATTATCAAAGATACGTTTGTTCATGTAAATTAATAGATGCCACAATAAAGAGTTTTGCATGAGAAAACATTATGTTCTTATTTTAAACTGGTTGCTACATAGCTGTTGGAATTCATTCCTCTGAAAGCTTCATTCTTCAAGTTGTTGAGTGGCTATAAAAAAAGCTGGCAGTATTCTCAGTTCTTATTGAGTATGCTTACTTTAATGACTGGTGTGACACAAAAGGGGAAGAACTAGGATTAGATTTGCTGCAATCTGATAGGGTTTGAGGACCATATGTACACACTATGTCTTTACTAGCAGTGAAGTCCATAAAGATTGTGGTCCTAGCTGATCATCAGGTATACGTAGACAGCTAGCTACTGGAGGACCTTGCAGCTGGGCCTTCCAGATGTGGCACCAACACCCCAGCTATGTAACATCAAATTACCAAGAGGTCTACCAAGACAGAAACAGCTGTTGGCACATCAGGACTGAGCCCTAATATGCACTTCAAAACTTCAGGTAGAGACAAAAGACAAAGTTGTACCAAACAGAGCCTCTTCTGCACACGACATCACTAATGCAGACTTACCCATAGATGTCAGTGCAGTAAGCGGTTGTTAAAGACACTTCAAGGAAATACATATCAGAAAAGATGATTTCTTCATAGTAAAAATAAACAGATGCCATTACAGTTTATAGCAGAAAAAAGGGAAATTAAGTGGATGAAATCTCTATACTACCATCAACAATTTAAAAAAATTCTTTGTAGTAATTTTTTTTCATAAAGGATGTTTTACATTATGGGGTGTTCAGTTTGAAAGGCGTTAACAGATTCTTTTTCTTTATTTGGGTTGCTTGAAAAAGTATGTGGAAGAAAAAGAATTTTGACTACAGTCCTTATTGTGTGATGAAGTTTTCTGACTGGTTTAAAAAATAATTCACTCTTACTAGGAGCTTGTTTGAAAGTCAAGATGCCATAAAGATAACTATAAAGAAAAATCTGAAATCCTATTGTAATGCTTTCTGATGAACTAATATTTTAAAAAATGAATGAGCTTCAATGTTAGTGTTCATATAACTGTGCATTGGTCTTAAGATAAAAAAAGGTCTCAAAAGGTTGCACTGCATGACACTTCAGAACACTCAACTGTTTTCATTTACCTCTGGACTAAGGACAGCTGTGCTATCACTTGGTACATCCTCTTCGTATCCTTTGTTATGAAAGCTTTCTATTTCGTGTCCCGTGCTTCCCTCACTTGGGCATTTATATGAACATCTTGGACTGTTGCTACACTGGGAAAATTCACATTTACTGTCTCCGACTTCAGAAGGCGTGCATGAAAGATGAGGAGAACCACTATCATCCTGGTATGGAGGCGGCTGCAGTTCATCTAGTGGAGGTGTTCTTCTCATCCTCTGAATGCAGTTTGCTGAGAATAAGTGAAAATTCTTTACTTACTTTCTGATTATTTACTGTTGAAACAGTTCTGTGGAAAATGGTAAGTCTAAATATCTGGGCAGAATATTTAAAAAAATCTGTAAATGTCTTTTTTTACTTTACATTTCAAATTAGATAACAAATACTACTGAAAAATATTTGTTAAAAATGGAAATTAATGATCTCTCAGATGAGATTTAGATAAAAGCAAAGTATTAAGTATATAGTCACAATGGATTGTGTAAACCATATATAAATGAATATAGCACAAATATGACATGACAAAAATTCTAGGCTTGAATTTCAGGGATGCTTACCTTGCAAAAACCTTTGGATACCTTAAATCAGATTCTGCGCAGGTGGAATGTAGACCAATTAAGGAAACAAAATGCACTCCCTAAAGCCATGATATCAAACCTCTGATTACCTCCCATACAGTTGCTCACCCAGGGAGATACTAAATTAAAGTCTGAAGACAAATAAGGTACTAATAAAAGCAGACACAAGCCTTTTCACACAAGCGAACTCTGCTCACCAGTGAATTTAGCAAGTGAAGCAGTGTCTCAGATTCTAATTACTTGTTAAGGACAGCTAAAGGGTACGCATCTGGTGGCTAAAAGTTAGACACTAGATTCAGTCACTAAAGACAGTGGAAAAAGGATCATGAGAAATCTTGTGCTCGGGATGAATACTTGATGCTGACCATCTTTGCTTCTCACACTAGACAGATAGATAGAAACGTGGTTATATATCTCCTCAGAAAATAAACCTGATACAAGTTTATGGATATAGAAAGTTAATTCAAAAAATTTACATTTATTACACAGCATTACACAGCTGACTAGAATTGGGAAAAGACAGCAAGGTGTGCAGTAGCTGAAATGAAAGGAATACCAAGGATAGGTAAAAACCTGTATCACATTTTGTTTACATCTTCTGTAGAGATTTTAATGAAGATTTCGATGCCCCTCACACATAGAATTAACTTATACACAAAAATTTCAAAGCAACTATGTTTTCTGGTGTCAGACATACCACTTTCACTCATAGAAAAAACTACCAAACAAGGAAGTTAAGGAAAGTATTAACATTAGAACAATAAAAGCTTTGATTTCAGATTCATCTAAGAAAAAACCCAATCTTGGTGGTACATTTTAGTTTCATCATCAAATTTTTGTATACAGGATTGCCCTGCCTGTGTCCTAAATTCTCACCAAGTACATCAACCTTTTAACTGCTTCAGAGGCAATTACCAGTTGTTCAACATATCACATAAACAGAGTATGCGTAAGAGTTACCCTTTATGGAACAAGGCTGAAAACACAGTAATGTGGCTCTCTTGGGAAACAAACGGTCTTAGCAAAAGGCTCCCTTTTGTTCTCCTTTCCTTTGGAAGTCTGGGCTGTATCTGACTGTGGCATGCTGGATAATTTCACAGCATCTGGGACTTCACATAAGCCCAAAGCACTGTGGTTTTGGTGCACACTGTCCATGGGAGGCAAACCCAGACACGTTGTCTGGAGGGGAGCCAACATGCATTGCAGATCCCCAAAGCTGGGCAACTGAAGGACAGGGACACGACAGCTCATTATGGAGCATATCTACTGCACAAATAAATATAGGCCTCAAAGGTAACTGGGGAATGCAGGGCTCTTCTCTATTTCACTGGGCTCCTAATGGAACTCCTCTTAGATTTAGCTAAGAGAAATGAGTAAGTAAAACACTCCAACCAGATGATACCACCGTCAGGAATCCTCTCTTCTCTGATAAACCCATCAGAGCCAGCCTACCATTCACAGTGATTCCAAATTACTGTTACAGCACTCCTGCAAAAGGTCTTCTGCTGTTAGTTATCCCAGTGCCACTAACTCTTGAAACTCCAGTCCCACATGGAAAGGAAAACAGAGCAGGCAGGGAATCCTATACTCGAAACGTAGTCATCAGTCTAGCAGATACACATAAAACCTTACATACAAAACAGAGTTAAGTGCAACAGTTAGAATCATGAAATCGCCATGCAGGAATATTAAGAAAGCTTTTTTGCAAAACACAGAGAGATACGGGAAAGCACTTCTTTTTTTTTGTTAAATATTAGATAACTTGTGCCCATGAAAACAGATATAATTAAATATTCTAGCAAATTTAGAGCAACAACATTTTTGCTCATTGTTGCTAAAAGGCAACAAACAGCATTAAATGACACGGTAACCAACATGTAGCTATGACTTAATTTCTTTCTTTTTGCTTGTAGTCAAGTCTGCAAAGACTTTTTAACTCCCAGCTTTTCCACAATCTAACGAAATGAAAGTCTATCCAGGTAACTAGCAACACCATTATTGTCTTACATGAGTAAATAAATGACTGTGTGACTCATTTTTTTCACTTTGATGAACTGCATTATATGTCCCTATGGGAAAACTGCACAGGCTGTGTGACAGAAAAGGTACTTTTAATGTAGGCGGGGAAGAAGTGAAAAAAAGAAAATCCTTATTAACCAGCTGTGACTCAAAAATCTCAGAAAATACTGAAACACTGAGGCAGGTTTTAACTATTTATTTTTGAAAGTTTAGTTTACCAAAGAGAAAAAGCGTGTAAATTCTGAAAACAAATATCCAGGTTTAAAAATCTAAGGACACCTCTGTCTAAACAGGTATAAACTGGTTTTGAACAAAAGGTTTCTCTACATAAAAAGATATTGAAGTTTTCAAATTAATTTTTAAAGTGAAAATGTCTCATTTTAAATTAATTTCCCCCTCCCCACAGTAAATGATGCAATAAAATGATGATTTCATGTTATAGGTCTCTGAAAATACTGCAAATTTGAATTACGTGAAGACATTCTAATGACTGATGATATCAAAGACAAATGATATCACAGACAGAAGTGAATACAGCAACATTAAATACCTGATACTGGGTATTTTCCTTAAAAATTACACAGAAGTAACAACTAACTCCAACAATCAATCCATCAACAAAATTTTGCATAAGTATCAAAGGTTAAAATAAAAAAACACTGCTAATGCATGCAGGCCTATCACTGATCGTATTGGAGAAAAAAGTTTGGAGGTGAAAGGAAAGCACATTCTGAAGTGTTTGCACGTTTACATGTAAAACCACTGTCTCTAACATACCCCATACCTTTCATTTAAGGTGTAAACTTAGACACAGTTACACTTGTGCATACTTGTATATTGTGACAAAGCCAGAGAATACATTCCAAAGACCACTGAAATGTGGCTTATAACTTCTGCTAAATAGTTACTCTTAACAAGCAAATGGTTACAGTGAAAATCTAAAATTAATTGTTGCATCGTTTCTAGGCAAGTTTCCCAAGAAACTTTCCGCTCTCAAACCAGATAGAAAATAAATTTTGCCAATTCCCCCAGTGAAATTAATCATATTAAATTACCATACCAGTTTGGACTAGACAGGGTAAAAAAACAAGCCAACATATATCCCAGACCTGGAAGAAATAAATAGTCACAGAGAAACCAAATTGGTTTGGCTTGAGGTTCCTACCAGCCAGAAAATGCCAGAATGGAGGAAAGACAAATAGAAAGAAAGATCCCACATCCAGTTTTCCACCCAAAGTATGTGAAATAACTTTGCATTCTCATAACATGAGTGAAACTAAGTTGTTTAGTAACAAATATTTAGTAAACTCTAAACTGAGTATACAGTGTATTGCTGTCAATAGGCAGATTTGAATAATCAATCTTTTAAGGGTTAACTGCTTTAATTAAAATTTGCATCCTTCTCTAGTAGGCTGGCAAAACATTCATATAGTGTTAATAATAAAGTCCTTGCTCAACAGTTGAAGAAACCAGAATTGTAAGTGAAATACCTGACAAATGCAAGCAGATTAGCATTTTGCTGGTACACTCAGGAAATTACAGCGTGTAAACTGTCATTAGCACCTTTAAGTCAGAAGTAAATAAATACCTTCTTCTTAGTACCGTTTGTTATACAATGAAGGTTAATTTGTTTTCATAAATCCCTGTACAGGGGACTGATTGAAAGCCAAAGGGAGATGATACATATCTTGCCATCAACCTCAAGGGACTGCCAGTAAAACCTGACACAGCAACTTAGGCCAAAATGAGCATTCCTGAACATACAATTGATAACTATGAGAAAATACACAAACTTCTTCAGTCATTTTTCTGAGTGGAATCACAGTTTAAAGATACATGAGCTTACTATAAGAAATGCTTTTTCTTTAGGTTTTCAGTTACTACTTGAACTTTCTACTTCCAATGCTTCTCATTTCTCTTCTCTGTCCTGGTCCCTTGTGGACCGTGCTAGGCTGTACAACATTTCACCACGAAGCTGGTGATGTTCCTTTCCATGTTTACAATGTTTAGACTTTGCTATCTTAATTAATTTTCCCAAAGGTTGTCAGCAGCAGCACAACCCTAGCTTTCTTTAGCCCATATTTCCTGAGTAATTCCAAGAACATCCATCTCTTAACATAAGGGAAAAGAAACTATCCTTGTGATTTTAATTCCCCTGTCTCATAAGCAGTAATTAACTACACTTCTGCAACTTGTAGTTTCTCATATATATTACTTCTTTAAATATTCATTCTATTGTGAGAGGCAGCATTACTGCAAAACTTCTTTGGGAATTTGGTTTCCAGTTCCTTTAAAACAAATAATCACTATATAAATTAATAATTTTTGCAAGTCATATTTTGTAATTATCAGAATATCTTCATACTCAAAAAGTACCTTTTATTCCTCTAATATATCTCCACATACACTATGCTTCATAATTGTTTATTTTTTTAATCTAACATAAATTTCAAGTTTTCAAGCCTTCAAGGGGTTCTATGTAAATGTTAAGACAATTTAAATAAAACATAAAATGAAATACATGTTTAAAAATTAAAGAAACCTTTCTTATTCTGAATGATTAAATACCCTTAGAGATTTCTGATATGCAGCACAGACAGTCCAAATAGAATTTTCATGTTTGAACTTTTCTACC